TGCTCGATGAGGCCATGCTTCTCGGCATAGTCGAGGATGATGCCGACCGGGTGAGTGAGGGAAACTCCCGGCCGTTCCAACCTCGGTCGCCAGTGGCGGTCTTTCTTACTTTGTCCACCAGAGCCGTGACGGCCCTGGGCACCCTGGCCGGCCGGGGACGGACCCGGGGCCGGCGAAGGATTTGTCTTCTTGGAGGGATGGCCTCCCTCTTTCTTGTGATTGTGGAGCTCGTCGGCGTCGGCGTACAAGCTTCCACGCTGGAGTGCTTTGGCGTACGACCTCGGAGGGTCGGTGATGAGGCTCCTTGCGTATGGGGAGCTGCGGAGGGCTCCTTGGTACAGGGCGAGGAGGGTGCGCTCAGGCCGACGCTCACCAATCCGTCCTGCCATCCTCTCCGAAACCGGACGACGGCGCGTGTCACCTAGCCTGTTGAAGGTAGAGGCTTTTCCACGCGCTGGGGTGTGCCCAGGCCGAAGAGGGGAAGCAGGGTGGGAGTGGGACGACGTCGTGTCCTGGGCCATCACCCCTTCATCGTTGCCTATCTGGACGGCCAACGGTTGGGGCTGAGGAGGTGGAGTGACGTTCCCCCCGGTCCTTGGCAAGAGTGCACTGAGGACGGTGGGGTTATGTGCCAGACTGGCGATGATGACCGACAGCGCGGCCTGGACCTGTGGATCCACGGACGGAGAGGCCGCGGCCATAGGCTGGGCCGGGGCGAGGTCCGTCTTCTCAGCTCGTTTCTTGTCCAAGCCGATGCGGGCGTCAGGGGCTCCGCCGTTGAGTTGGTTGCGGAGGTCCGTCGTGAGGTTGAAGGCCTCCTGGAAGACGTCCCCTCCGCCAACCTGGTCGGCCGTGGCGTCCTCCTCGTGCTCCCTGGCCTCTTGGTCCTCAGGGATGGCCTTGCTGACGAGGTTGCGGTTTGATTTAGTTCTTCCCATGATCAGTGGTTAGCTGTGCTTGGTAGCGACGAAGGGTGCTAACTTGATTGTTCTAGCTCTCAATGAAAGCACCAAATGATAGAGTATATCTAGAGAGAAGTGAGAGTTAGAGAGAGAAGTGCAATAATATGCTTCAATAGAATGAATTTGTAACCCTGATAACTACCTCCAGAGGAAGTATTTATAGGGAAAATACGGGCTGGGCTCCCAAGCCTTGGGCTCCCAAGCCTTGGGCTTGGGAGGTCCATTTACAACTGGACCGCTACTGGGCCGAATACAAAGCCACTAATGGGCTGTACAAATGAGTAAGTGTGAAATCCGGTTTTGTAGGTCTCCCGTGGCCGACGAGGGCGTGGCCGACGAGGGCACGGCCGACGAGGGCACCCGGGTTCCTTGGCTTCAGGACCATATTCTGAGTTGGTACCTTTCCGGCCGACGGGGGTCCCTTGGCCGACGAGGGCACCACTCAGTGTCTTGTGCTTTCTGTTCTTCTGAGTATGTGGGTCCTGGGGCTCAGACCCATATACTCCATCACCTCTATTACTCATGTGACCTAGTCTTTGGTGCCAAAGCACAGACTTGTCACTAAGTACAGCATTAGCATTTTCAGAAAAAGGTTTGACATGCACACCATAAAGGTAATTTTGTTTCAAAGCTTTAAACAAAACAAGGGAGTTTTTCAGAATTTTCATACACTCATTACCCCATTTACCCTCAAGACCAAATTCTTCAAAAGCAGAGACTGAAAATAGGTTATGCCTTAGATCAGGTACATGCCTGACATTTTTAATTTGAAAAACAGTTCCATTTTCAAATTTTAGGCAAATGTCACAAATACCAAGGACCTTACACCTTTTACTATCAGCTAAGGAAACAAAACCAGTTTCCTAAAAGGACCTTACACAATTATAGGAGGAAAACAAATTCCTAAAAGGGGTCATATGGTAGGTACACCCAGAGTCTATTAACCATTCAGATTGAGTTAGACTACTAATCACAAAATTGGCTTGATCACAGACCATAAAGACTTCTTCCTCTACAGGTTTACTAGTCACAACATTAGCCTGGTCATTTCTCTTAGGTTGGGTGCAATCTTTTATGAAGTGTCCTGGGTTACCACAGTTATAGCAGACTCTTTTCCTAGACTTATACCTCTTCTTACTAGGTTGTCTACCATTCTTATCCTGATTGTCCTTTTTAGGGTGTCTAGACCTGCTTTTAGACCTTCCCCTAACAAACAAAGCTTCCCCAGATTTCCTATGATGGTTCCTAGAATGTTTTAAGTCAAGTTCTTTACTTCTCAGGCCATTAATAACAATATCTAGGGTTATGTCATCCCTCCCATATTTAATGACACACTTAACATCATTATAGGAATCAGGTATAGCATTCAATAAGACAATGGCAGTGCAGTCATCTATATGTTTATCCCCAGCCTGCTTAATGTTTTGGATTAGTTTATTAAAAACATCTATGTTTTCATCAATATCTTTTGTTAGGTCAAGTCTGAACCTAAAAAACTTTTCCAACAAAAACAGTTTGCCAGGAAGGGAAGTATCAGTATATAAAGACTCAAGTTTATCCCATAGGTCTTTAGCAGACTCAATGACTCCAACCTTTCTAAGGAGAAAGTCAGACAAGTTTAAATATATGGTTGAGCAGGTTGTTTCATTCATTTCAACTTGTTTAGGTTTTTCTTCAGTTTCTAAGTATTGTCCAGTAACAGCTCTATGAACTTTCTGTTGTATTAACACACATTTTATTTTCTGTTTCCAAATATCAAAAGCAGTCTTACCATTAAAAGGCATCATACCATACTGGTTTGAAGCCATGATAACAGTCAAGCACACACAATTAATGAGCCAAAAGTAATGCAGAAGCCTAGCCCTAGAAGGTTAGGCTGAGGACTAAGGGACCACGCAGATCCGGGGCCACAGAGGTGGCTGGCAGGGAATCCCCTAGCCCTAACCTCAGGTGCCTTAGCCAACTAGGGTTTTTCAGCCACAGTATTACAATGGATAAAAAACTATCAACACAGGTAAAGAAGTATACTGGAAACAGATAACAGCAAACAACAGAGGACCAACAAACAAGTAGAAATCACAAAGGTGCTCAGATAATATCATAGACAACAGTGGGCTAAGTTCGACACAGATTAGCACCACCCATGCATTAGTTCAACAAACCTAGGATTTCTGCAGACCTGTCTAGACAAAATCTACACATGCAATGGTTAAGAAACTAGGGTTTCTAATCGGCAGTTCCTGAACCTAGGGTTTCAGAACCACCCATGCATCACAGAAGCCGGTGGCACTCCGGCAGCCCAAGGGTTAGGGTTTAAGGGTTATACCTGAGCGGGTTTCACTGAGAGACAACCCGACTTACCTTCTCCGATGGAGTCTCCAGGCGTTACCAGTGTGGGAGTTCTCCGGTGAGCTTCCAGTGTCCGAGAGAGGCAGCAACGTCCAGGCTCTGATACCACTGTTAGAAATCCGGACCGACTCAAACCTCAAACACCACAAAGCCCAAAGGCTTGCTCACACTCACCACCAGAGTTACAACCAGGGAAGATGAAGGGCGACAGCCAACAAACCCTCACACTCAGAACCCAGAACCCAGCCCAGAAGTCCCACCGGAGGAGTAAACAACCCACCACACTACCAGACTAGAGTGAAGACCCCAATAGGAACCCCAAGGTCTCACCGGAGCATAGCCAGAGCTAAAGCTCAGAAGAAACCGGCACTCTCTCACTCTAGGTCTAGGGTAATAGAACGGGAGCTTCATCGGATAGAGAGAAGGAGGAGCGTCTGAAATAGGAGATTCCAGAAGAACCGGACAAATATATCAAAGGGCCATAAATGGAACGGGCTGGGTAGAATACAATTAGGGGGAGAGGGCTTGGTCGGGTAGACAGCCCAAATTGGGCCAGGGCAATAAATAGGAGACCACACTAGTACAAAAAAGGTTTTTTACATCTCCTTTTCTACATGTGTTATTTTAAAACACATGTCGAATACTAACATGGGGTCATTTTTATAATTTTTATAAACATTTTTACATAGGTTGTAGTTATAACCCATGTGAAACACCAAAACGGGGTACTTTTTAAAATTTTAAGAAATAATCTAAATCGGTTATAATTGCAACCGATGTGAAAAAAAACGGGGTAATTTGCAGAATTAATGAAACTTTATTTTAGATCGGTTAAAACCGATGTGGGAGAAATTAAAAAAAAAGAATCGTTGTTATTCTAGATCATTGTTACCCGATCTAGATGAATTAAAATTTTTTAGGGCCTGCACTTAGCCGATTTCAGAGAGATAGAATCGTTATCTGCGTGAAGGAAAAGAAGACTGAGAGATTGAGAGACGGAAGGGCGACAGAGAGATTGAGAGTCGGAAGGGGGCAAGTTAGAGCAGTCCGCGCCTAAGCGAGTTAGGGCTTTGGACGGACTTTGAGCAGTCAGTGGACGGCATTCGAGCGGCTAGTGGACGGCGTTCGAGCGGCCAGTGGACGGCGTTCGAGCGGAAGCGGACGGTGCTCGAGTGGATGTTGGACGGCATTCGAGCAAACGGCTGAAAGTGTTCGAGCAGACAACGGAAGGTGTTCGAGCAGATAGCGTTCCAGCGGCTTTCGAGGTCGAGTAGGCAAACCTTCCTCTTCGGCCTATCTTTGAGCGAGCGGACTTTCGTCAGTTGGCTATTTTCTCTAAAGGTATAATTTTATTGGTTTTCTAAACTATTTTTACCATGATTCTGTTGCTATATTTGAAACTAAATGTCTGAAATCTGCCGTTGCAATGTTAGGGATTGAATACTTCATAATTCTGGAATGAGTACTTCATATTTCAACTATTAGAAAGCTTATTGTGGTATTGAATACTTCATAATTTTAACTAGACCAGTTTAATCTTTTTTTAGTAGATTATGTGAGATTTGGAGATTTGTGAAGTATATTATTTTAGTAAAAAATGAAGGATGTAGATTATGGAATATCAAAAGTTATGGTATGGAATAATCTCCAATTGAATATAGAGAGCTCCTGTAATTGGATATTCATAGTGATTAGGTTCATCGACAACACTGATCTGGCTGGCATTGATCATCAAATAACACAACTTGGGCTAGAGCTGGCATCAACACTTGTTATTGTGACCTCTAAGAGTGGAGACACCCCTGAAACCCGAAATGGTCTACTGGAAGTACACAAGGCCTTTCATCAAGCAGGGCTTGAATTTGCAAAACAGGGAGTTGCCATTACGCAAGACAATTCATTGCTTGACAAGACTGCTATAAGCGAAGGATGGATTGCCAGATTTCCTGTGTTTGGTTGGGTTGGTGGTAGAACTTCTGAAATGTCTGCTATTGGTTTGCTTCCTTCAGCTCTTCAGGAAATTGATATAAGAGATATGCTTGCTGGTGCTGCATTAATGGATAAAACAAATAGGAATATTGTTGTTCGTGATAACCCTGCAGCGCTTCTTGCCCTATGTTGGTACTGGGCGACTAATGGAATATGAAATAAGGATATGGTTATTCTTCCATACAAGGATAGCATGTTATTGTTCAGTAGATATTTACAACTGCTGGTCATGGAGTCACTTGGAAAAGAATTTGATCTGGATGATAATTGGGTGAAGGGATCACAGTATATGGAAACAAAGGGAGCACAGATCATCATGCTTACATCCAGCAGCTGAGGGAGGGGGTGCACAATTTCTGTCACTTTTATTGAAGTACTACGTGATCGGCCTGCCGGTCATGATTGGGAGCTTGAACCTGGTGTCACCTGTGGTGACTACCTTTTTGGAATGTTACAGGGAACAAGGTCAGCCCTTTATGCCAATAATAGAGAGTCTATTACTATAACAGTACAAGAGGTGACACCTAGATCGGTTGGTGCCCTAATAGCTCTCTACGAGCGAGTTGTCGGTATTTATGCTTCACTAGTCAACATTAATGCTTATCATCAGCCTGGTGTAGAAGCTGGGAAGAAAGCTGCGAGAGAAGTTCTAGCGCTTCAAAAGCGTGTTCTTGCAGTACTTGATGAAGCCAGCTGCAAAGAGCCTATTGAACCACTAACACTTGAAGAATTAGCTGATCGATGTCACGCCCATGAAGATATTAAAATGATCTATAAGATTATACAACACATGGCAGCAAATGATAGAGCTTTGATTGCCGAAGGCAGCTGCGGTTCACCTCGTAGCATTAAAGTGTTTCTGGGCGAATGTAACGTGGATGACTTGTATGCCTAGTTATATTTACAACATAAAAACATTTAACCTTGTATGCAAGCTACTAAGGTTTTGCCGAAGAAACAAACACTATTCGTTCCAAAATAAACTTCCTATTTTCTATTCAAGGCACAACAATCTTCTCAAAAAAATATATAGAGAGAGCCTCTCTATATTTTTGAACTAAACCAATTTATTCCATACCACAAATCTACTAAACCAATTTATTCCATATCATAATTTTAACCATTTTAGCTTATTCCATATTGGAGGCTCATTATCTGATTTAGTAGATTATGTTCTAGCCTCGTTAGAATTTGAGGATGTAAAGCTTGTTCTGGATGGAAACTCCTTAGATGTTGTTGGTGCAAAATTAATTGCTCAGAAAGCAAAGGGAATGTCCCGAATGAGTATATCACTCAGTAAACTGGTTGGTGCTGCTTCATATTCATATATGTTTCTTGTTAAATTTTGAAGCGTGCATTTGTAAATAAATTGCAGGTTACAATTGCTTTTTACGGTCACCTTATCACAATTGAGACCGAAGACGGAAGAGCAGTTCCGATTTAGAGCTTTGGACAGACTTCGAGCGGCTGGCGTTCAAGCGGACGACGTTCCAACGAACGGCGGGCGGTGTTCGAGCAGCGGACATGTCATCGTCTTCAGCAATTTACGGTAACTCCCAAACTCTTAAGTCGTTTCCCTTCTTCTACGAACTGGTCTGTAGCTTTACCTTTGCTCTTCTCTGTTTCTCTGTCGGTATTTGAACACTGCTGTATAGTACTCCGTCTGTATCAATCTGTAATACTCCAACATCACATGTATTTTCTCAAAACAATTTACCCTTTGCTTAGCCTGTAATTTCCAATGTTAAACTGATGCATATACTCCGTATTACTTTTCTTTTTTCCAATATTATAAAACAATGTTACATATTTTCCAGTAGTTTTAAGGGTATAAATGTAATGGATTACCTTGAAATTAATAATGACGGTGTTATAAACCTGCACAGTTTTACTATTTATTTTCAAACTTGTAATGATATATAATTAGAATAATTTCCTTTGCAAATAACATTTGTATACATGTTGCTGTGCACAGTTTATACACACAATGTCAAAGGGTCATAGACAATTACTAATTTATTACACATGGAGTTGGGCCATAAATAAATTGTGTGGGAATAAATTGGAGGGGGGCTAGTGGAATGGGAAGGGAGTTGATGGGCTGGGGTGGGGGCTGGGGAGCTGAGGATGGGGTTGGTGGGATGGGGAGAGTTCTGGTGAGCCGGGGAGGGGCTGAGGAGGGGCCTGTGGAGCTGAGGATGGGGCTGGTGGGATGGGGAGGGTTCTGGTGAGCTGGGGAGGGAGCTGTGGAGCTGGGCAAAGCGATGTTACTTGGCTCCTTATTACTTCCGGTAAGTAAAAGTTACTAGAACACATATTTGGCTCCTTGTTGAAGATAAAAATATTTTTTATGTATTATTTTTTTTTTAAATTATTGTTTGTCTTTTATCCTTTTTTTATGTATACATGAATCATTGGGAGCTCTTTATCCTGTCTCCTGTCCAAAACACTATTGTCTTCTTGTGTTCTTTGGGGAATAAACCAAATAGACAATTCAAAAATATTATTGATGCGTAAGTATTTTGTACATTCCGTTTTATTTAATTTTTAAATATATATTGTATATCTTAATTACATAAATAATTTATTATATATATATATATATATATATATTTAATATTATAAATTACACAGTGCAATGGAGGCAAGCCGTAAGCTCAACTCAAGAAAGGAAAGAGTGAAATGGATTATTCCTATGGTAAATACTTACTACTTTACTTTGTATGTTATTTTTACTTTCATTTGTGTAGCACCAAGTCGAATACCGTAATTTCTGATTAGTAATTATGTTGTTCTAATTTTTAGTCTCAGATGGAAGTTGGAAGTTATGAATGTGATTATTATGTGATGTTGCATATGTTGAATATTGTTTCAGCGGTAATTCTTGAAATGTGGGATGAGGTACGTTATTATTTTATTTACATTCAATAGGATTGCTCCACATGTAATGTTTTTTAATAACCTTCTTATTTAATTTGTAGCTATTCGCCAATCCGGAACCATTCTCATCAGAAGAGATTGATGAAGTATGAACTCGTTGGGCATCATATTTCTTAGAAATGACGCAATCCATGCACATGATGAACGTGTTTGTTTCAGTTTTTGAGTGATGATGAGACTTGTAACTTTATATAATGGATTATTACTCTAGACTTGTGCAAAAATTATTTTATTTTAGCTTATTATGTACTAAGTTGTTACTTGAACTTGTTTAATATTTGTGGAAGAATTGAAAAATAGTTTGTGTTGTTGTTTTAGTTGGATCAATTGAACAGGTGAAAAATTGTGCTATAGTAGTTGATGATACTGTTAATGATGTGATTATAGTATAAACAAGGGTCATATTGCAAAATTTTTTCGTGAAAAATACCAAAAAAATTGAAGCTTTTCACATCAATTGTAAAATAACCGATGTGATTGCTTTTCTACATGGGTTATAACCGATGTGAAAGACACATGTTCTGGAAAAAAAATGAAGCTTTTTACATCAGTTGTGAAATAACCGATGTGATTTCTTTTTTACATGAGTTATAACCGATGTGGAAAACCTATGTTCCGGGAAAAATTGAAGCTTTCCTACATTAGTTGTAAAATAATCGATGTGGTTTCTTTTCTACATGGGTTATAACCGATGTGAAATATCATTAAAAAACTTTTCACATCGGTCAAACAGTCGATGTGGTTCCAGCACATGTGAAATATGTAGAAAGACTTTTCACATCAGCTGTTTGACCGATGTCAAAAGTCAATACTTTTCACATGTGCTGGAACCACATCGACTGTTTGACCGATGTGAAAAGTTTTTTTTGACCGATGTGAAAAACCTTTTTTGTACTAGTGGGCCAACTCCTTAAATGAGGTGGACCAAAAGGCAACTCAGGGATGGCCCAGTGAGGTGGACCAATACCAACTACAGAAACTACATTAAAAACTTTACAAAGTCACAAAAAAAACCAGAATCAAATTTGATAAAAATTTGATATATAAAGTAAGAGATTAAGAGTGATTTGTGTTGACCAAGAATAAAAACTGATACATTGGGACGAAAGTAGTACTTGTTAAAACTTTTGATTACTACTCCTCACTTCAAAAAAATTATAAAATGAGGAAATTAAATCAGATATTTTTTCGTTTTTTCTAAAATGTACTTCAATCTAATATGCAGTACGAAGTGCATCCATAAATTGATTTAGCCATGCATTACAGACTTGCAGGGGTGAGTTTTTTAGTTAAAGAACATGGACAAAAATGTCTTTTTATAGCTTAATCGTAGAAAAATAAATTTCAGCTGAAAAAGTAATTATATACTTACTTTTTGAGCTCAACATAAAAAACAGATAGATCAGCCCATTGAATGAGTGTTTAGTTATGTTTATAGATTTTGAGACTTATAAGCCAATTCCTAGCCCTCCAAACGGACACTGTGTATTACTTATCATATTTATGAAAAATATTGATAAAACTATAATGTATGTGCCCTGGACTAATCCTCGCCTGGGCGCTTAGGCGTTAGGCGCCCGTCTAGCTGCCTAGGCGCTAGGCGTTGAGCATGCACCCAACTAGTGCCTAATACCTTTTAGAACATTGATCATTATACTCTTATTACTAAATTAATATAAAATTTACGTGATTTTTTGAAATTCAATTTGTTTTTTGACATGTTTCTCTTTTTCTAATAAATATTGTAGAATACGAAAAATTTATTGCACATATGAATAAATATGTAGGAATATGAAAAGAACATGGAGTACATTAAAATTGAAAGAGAATATCGTCAAATACATCCTCGTTCTTTAACGAAGAAGTCAATTGAGTCCTTCTACTATTTTTCAAGTCATTTAAGTCCAGCAAGTTTGAAAAATTAACCAATTTCGACATTTGAGCGGTAAGTAGCTAGTAACTTCCGGTAGCTTCTGATGTGGAGGCCCACGTGACAATATTTTTAGTTTTTCCATTTCTTTTCTTTTTTGCTTTTCTCTTTCTTCTCTCACAGGCCACCTCTATTTCTTCTCCTAGTTAGTTAAATACGGTACGGGAATTAAACAAGGTTTAATACATACGTGTTTTATTCGGTATAATTAATTAAAAACGGTCAAAAATTCGTTGAAAAATACGCTGACTTAAAAAACGTGTAAATACGTATACATGTATAATACGGTATATATTACAAAAATTTGGACAAAAAACGGGGTACAATATTGAACATTTAAATTATATACTTCACAAAATAACATATATAGTAAAATGAAATAAAAGTATACACATATTCAAGTAGAAAATTCTATTACTACATAAAAGAATAATTCGTGGTTGCATAGGTTGATAACAAAAATAAAAATAGTAATTAAGTCCAAGTTATATATTTTTGCAAACTAATGTCAACAAATAAGACGTATTAACAATAGAATGAGATTAAGTTAAAACGATTACCTTTATATAATCATCAAATAACACTCAATTTAAATTCATCATTTTCATGAAGATGATGGAGGACATGTGAGAAAAGTTGTGTGACTGCTACGCGCACTTATTATTGTTTTTGTGTAAAAGTTTATATTAAAAAAATGTAAGGTTTATAAAAACTTTAATTTTGACATGCTTGTTTAATTAGAAAAACATTAGACATCTAGTAATATTAAAGTTTTACTATTTTAGCATGCTAGTTTTAACCTCCATGCAATTTATTTTAGAAAAAAATGGCCTCTATATTACAACTAGAGTTTTCATTTCCAAAAATATGACAATTTTTACTTTTTCCAAAAATATAACCCCTTAAAACACTCCAGAGGCTAAGCCTCCGCTTATTTCCGTTATCCCATCTTCCCCCAGCGAAGGTCATCCCATCTTCTTCACTCCCATCGAAGCATCAGCGAATCAGAGGCGGAGCATCCACCGAACTTGGAACTTGATGTGCACTTATCGTGAGGTGCACTCAAAATAATTAATCGATACAACACTAATACATAGTATAGTGAAGTAAGGCT